TGTGCCTCTATATCGTTCTGTCCTTTAGAAGATGCGGACAACTCCACTCACAGAACGCTGGGTCTATATATATAAGTCTATGGTGGCAACGTTACCGCGTCCAGTGGGCAGGAGCCATATCTCACAATGGGAAAGCACAGGGAATAGGAATAGAGAATAACACAGGCAACAGAAATAACTAAATTCCAACTTACCAGAAACCGTGCATCGACGGCATCGACGCACAATGGAATATGGAATAGGTAATAGGAACAGAATTTCCGACACGTTGGATTTCTGTTCCCTATTCCCTGTGCCTGACCTACCTGACCAATCATAGTTGAGACTGGGACAGACACGTGGTTTTAAAATGCAGATGATTGGACAGCACGCCTATTGCCAACGAATCATTGTGTCTTGGCATTACCTATAGCGTTTTCGACTGAACCAGGATTAATCGCTCCGGGAGCGATTAATGACGTCACGAGTTTTGTTTTAGGTTACTAGACAAATAACCCAAAGTTGCAACCCGTGTTCGACCCATACCATTGCGAATTGATCCATCAGTGCTAAGAAGCTACGTTAGATTACAATCAGGTTATACGTGCGTGTTTATTGTGGAACAAAGTATTCTTTGACGATAATAACGCGTAAGTGTACCAATAAACTTTTCGATTTTATCATAAAATTGACAAGAATATTGTAACTAGAACCTAACCCAGGTTCATAAAGCCCAATGTCCACGATCCAAGAACTGTGTCAAAGTTCTAGTTTCGAAAAATGCGCAGCCAATCAACATGCAGCTTGTATGGAATAGCTGCAAGCTGATTGGCTACGCATTTCTTGAAACTAGAACTTGGACACAGTTCTTGGATCGTGGACATTGGCCTTAACTCATTTTCGGTCGAACATATGTTCCTAGTATCTTCGGGTTAGGCTGGTATTACATTTGTCGTACGACAAAGTTTTTAAGCGTATTGATTGGCTGAAGGATAGTAAAATTCTCGAGTATCTAGAAACTTTCTATTCAGCGGCCAATCGACACGCTTGAAAAATTTGTCGTACGACAAATGTAATAGTACCCTCAGAATGACCCTGTGATTGGTGATACGCAGGTTACGCTACGCAAGTTACGCTCCATGTGAATCCAGCCTAATAGCGTTTTCGATTTTCTGACTCGACCCGACCCAGAGTCAGAAAAGTTTGATCAAAAGCAAGATTTGAACCACAATTTCTGCAAAAATCTTATTTTTGATCAAACTTATCTGACTCGGAGTCGGGTCGAGTCAGCAAATTGCCGTGTCGGCTCAGTGGTCAATGAGCCGAGTGCCAATAATAATAATAAGTCAGCAAATCGAAAACGCTATAAAGCCCGCTGCAGACGATGCTATTTTTCCTGCTGGATTGCTTGCGATTTACTAAATTACTAAGAAGCCTGATTGCTGAATGGTGCAACGATAGTAATTTATTAGATTGCAAGCAATCCAGCAGAAAAAAATAGCATCGTCTGCAGCGGGCTTAAGACCGTGGCCTCAACTGACGTCCATGAAAAGGCACCTTTACGCTCCATGTGACGCCATCTTTACGCAGGTTTCGCTGCATGTGAAACAGCCGCAGACAATCACAAGCTTACCCTACTATACAACGCCTCGACAGTGGCTTAGAGACATAGACGTGCTTGTACTAATATGGCTGCCATTTGTTAGTAGCGTATTTTTCTTTAGTTCGATGCGCATTTTGTAAAAAAGGCTACGCTCGGTGCCTTTCACGTCGCGGCGTTACGTGCCTGCGTGTCACCGCGATCCGTGCTTAACGCGCCCGAGACCGACAATCCGCGATGCCTCGCGCTTGTGATGTCTCGCGGTCGGATGCTGTGCGCGAGAAGTGAAACAGTTGCCCGTCACCAGCCATGTTCAAGTGTCTTTTTGTTGTGACAATTTCGTGATATTACAATCTCATGCAACGTGCTGCAACTCGCGGAAGCGATCTCCCGCGCGCGTCAACACATCATTGTTTTTTTTCCACAAACAATCCTTTTGGTTTTCTCGCCTCGTCTCGCTTCGTCCCGTCTCGTCTTGTCTCGTCTCTCTTCGTCTCGTCTCGCCTCGTCTCGTCTCGTTTCGTCTCCTTTTCGTCTCGCCTCGTTTCGTCCTGTTCTGTCCCGTTCCGTTCTATTCCGTCTCGACCGTCTCGTTGCATCTCGTTTCATCTCACTTCGCCCCGCCTCGTCTCGTCTCGTCACGTCTCGTCGCGTCTCTTCGCGTCCCGTCGCGTCTCGTCTCGTAGGAGCTTTCCGTTTGCCTGTGCTTGCTGCTGTCGAGTAACGATTAAATGAAAGGTAATTGCATTATATCATGCGTGTTTATTTTGCAATCCAACTTTTGTTGCTTAAATATCGTTAGGTTGATCAGCACCTCTTATGTCTTGCCGACCTTGCCTGTCCAGCGTCGACTTTTTAATTATATTGTTTTTGAAAATCCCAGGCTTCCACATCTTAGCTCTCGGTGTTCTCATTATTATAACTATTGTATTTTCACAATAATGTTCAGTGTTTCCGCCTCTGAACACTTGTTACGCTGAACACACAAATATTGGAGCATTTGTGTAATCTAGATTTTCTACATGTTCCAAGAACCATTCCTTTTCGATAGATATACTTTTAAGCTTATGCTTATATATATATATATATATATATATATACGTATCTTTTATGCAGGAATATTGCGTGTCATGTCTCAACGTAGCGTCTGTATCTCGCTCGTAGCTCATAAGTCGCAAGGGTATCATTTTTTTTACTGCAAATTTGAAGTATATACATATATGGCATGATTAGTCTAATATAGAAAAGTTTGTATACCGAAATGTCACTTTTGCATCGTTTGTCATTACGTTTGCTCTAAGCTCGCGAGAAATATTTTAATGACAAGTACTTTGTGACATTTTAAGACAAGAACTCTAATACAAAAATGTCGAGGCTACAACAGTTTTCAAGTGGGAAGAGTTTAAAGATTTTGAATAACGAGGCTAGAACTTTGCGCGCACAGAGATGCAAAAGTGGCAAATTTCACTGTGGAGTTGCCATTTTGACCAAATAAAAACGATAATGACAGCTGACACATATCAATGTCGATTTGAAGTGTTGAACAAAAAATTTTTTATAATTCATTACATTAATAATGTATGAATAAGACTCTAATAGAAATATATATATAATCAATTGTAATCTTCTATAAGAGTTATGATGATAGTTAAAATAATAGAAGGTAATATGGGCAATGTGAGCTGTCACATGATCTTAGGTGAACGAAATTAAAACAATATAAGGATAAATGTTATATAGGTATTATAGAAATTTCGTAGCAAATTAGTATATAAAGTAGGATTCGTACGTTTCGGTCACGACAAGTGACTCTCTTCAGCTATACAATATTTAATTTAGTAATTTAGTAATAGTCATTACATTAAATTTTATAAACAAATAGTTTTTAATCAAATTCTTGCATTATTTCTACAATAGTACCAATTATTATTATTATTTTTTGTGAAAGATGTGAGGTTCAAGAAGCATCTTTGCTACTGGCCACTTTGTCATCTCTGAGCGCGCGAAATTTAGCCTTGTTATTGGAGATCTTTAAACTCTCCATTTGAAAACTTATAACCTCGACATTTTCGTATTAGAATTTTCGTCTAAAGTGTTACACAGTACTTGTTATTTTTTGCTAGTTTACGTACACCCTGTATATTACAGTAAAGGCATGAAATTAAGGCTGCGTTTGTGGAAACATTCGAGTACCCCAGTTATCATTTTATTCTTGTTACCGAATCTTAAATTAGGAGAAAATAATACACTGGAGCACTCGCATGACGTTTCCGAACGTAGCTTGTTAGTATTGTAATTATACAGGTTAGAAGATGTAGCAACAATATTAGTAGAGGAAAGTCCTCTGTTATAAGATAGCGGGATTTCTGTTAAAGTAATAGGCCTTATCTGTTGATTCAACCATAAATTTGTTGCTCTTGAAGCGAAATCTGTTTAACATAAGAATCATTTGACGTCAGCAGATGAATCAACATGATTAAGCAAAGCAGTTAATCGACCATGACTAGCTATGTGTTTTTTAAACGCAGAAAATTTATTGCAAAAAATATCACCTCAGCCAGGGTTTGAACCTGGACCTCCCTTCTCTCTAGGCAGAAGTCTCAACCAATTCAACCACCGAGGCATATGATAATATTTGTCGCAATAACAGTATAGGTGTTGTCTATGCGTATGTTGCCGACTTTTGTAACCTGCGCACCGATACGGATTGTCGAAATCTGTTTAGTAGAAAATTCATTGTTAGTTTGTGTAATCGTTGCGAAAAAAGATTTGTGATGAAATTTCGGGGTTGAAAACCTGCTATCTCATATTAGAAATTTTATATCTCATAATAGAGGACTGTCCTCTATCATTGAAGGATATCTAGTTAATTTGATAATTGATAAGCATTTATAAAACATTTTCATTCATTAGGCATCACAGCCAACTTATGAGCAAAACATGGTTTTAGGGTATGATAGAACAATATTCATTTAATCAAATAAAGTAAATACGTTAATGTTGATGTCTGCGGCTTACAGTTAGTCATTCTCAGCATAAATTAAGATAACGGAGAAGCAAAAAGTGTAAAACTACTGATATAAAATTTGACTAAAAACAAATCTGGCATACAGTTTGGTTGACTTGCGTCAATTTCTACCAATGTAGATTAAATTTGATCTTAGTTCAACTTTCTGGTTTCAGGAATTGGAAAAAGATAAAAAGTAAATTAAGCAGGGAAATCGAATACTGTCACGACCGGTGGCATTCGGGAATCAACATTAGACTATTGCGATGAATATTGCCATGCTTCGGTGGTCGAATTGGTTGAGACGCCCGTCTAGCGAGAGGGAGGTCTAGGTTCAAACCCTGGCCGAGGTGATATTTTTTCGCAATAAATTTAGAATAAAATATTTAGACACTAACACCCTGTCACGGCTCGTAGTCTTTTATTCCTTTAAATTTGAGTTTAAACATGGAAAGTTAATCTGCATTGGCAGAAACGCATTACTTAGTTTTTACCAACATCATTGATCTTACAATTAGCTTAACTCATACCTTGTCTCATTCTGTCTCCTCAGAAAGAGACAAAAGACGATTTTTGAATGACGGTGAAAATCGGAATTATTCCCTTTTCACCAATGTCCCTTTTCACCAAATTTAAAGTCAATCTTAATTTGATTCAAGGAGGGTGGTTAGAAAAAGACAAAGGACAAATCAAACTAACAATAAGATCAAAGTTAAACGACGTTTGTGAAAACCGGGGTAAATGAAATAGTATAAAGGGCAATAAATAATTGGAGATAAAATAAGTTTTTTGAGTCAAGTGGTGAAAACGCGTAGCCATAATTCTGCGTTTGAAGGATCTGTCCATTATTAAAGCGCCCAATGAGAAAGCTTCTAATCGGAAATAAAAAACATTACAATTGCATTCTCTAGTCAACCACTCGAAGTGATATCTTAATGGGAGACATTGGTAAAAAGACGAAATAATCAACTGTTTTTCATGTCTCGACTTGTTCTTATGAGATTTGTTCATGGATTGTATACATTTTAGTCAAAGAAGAGTGTGACGTACTTATGTCATTAATATTGTTGTCGAATTGACAATTTTCAATTTGATAGGTTGTTAACTAATGCTGTTAAGATGTCTTTCTTTTCCACGTATTTGCACTAACTTGCCTAGTAAAAGTGTCACTTGATATTTTTACTAGCGCACTTACCAATTCAGTTTAGCAAATAATCAAAATGGCAGAGTGTTAATTGTCTTGTAATAAAAGTATTTACGTAGTGTTATATATACCGGGTGTCCCAATTTAATGTCCCACCCCAAATAACTTTTTATTTTTGATCGCAGAAAAAAACGTTTCAGACAAAAGTTGTTTGGTTCGAAGGCGGACATAAGATGGTGCCATTAGTTTGACCTTGACGAGTTTGCTTGAAGGTCACATAAAGGTCACTTTAAATTTTTTTTACTGAACCCCCTATTGTTTATTATATTATCTTACTCTACTAATTAATATGAACAACTTTTGTCCGAAACATTTTTGATTTACCTAATATTTTTTAGATATTCAAGAGAAAATTTATAACTATTTTAATGTTTAGTTTATGATATCTCGATAACTGTTTGTCGGAGGGAAAAGTAGTACAGGACTTTTTTTACTTGATTTGGTCTCAGGATTATGCTGTTGCAATAGTGCTCCAATTATTGTAAATTTTTGTGTATGTTACAATACAGAAAAATTTTCAACAATTGGAGCACTATCATAACAGCATATTCTTGAGACCAAATCAAGTAAAAAAGTCATGTTCTACTTTTTCTTCCGACAAACAGTTATCGAGATATTATATGCTAAGCATTGAAAAAGTTATAAATTTCCTCTTGAATATCTTAAAAAGTATTAGGCAAATAAAAAATGTTTCGGACAAAAGTTGTTCGTATTAATTAGTAGAATAAGATAGTATAATAAACAATAGGGGGTTCCGTTTAAAAAATTGAAGGTGACCTTCACGTAACCTTTAAATGATCATCCAAGATCAAGTCAATGGCACCACCTTATGTCCCCCTTCGAACCAAATAACTTTTGTTTGAAACGTTTTTCCGTATCTTTCACATTTTTTGAAAACACTTGTGTGGATCATTTAAAATAAGACACCCTGTATATTGTAGCCAGATTGTATATATTGTAACCAGAGTATATAATTACTGAATTTTGTTTTCAGTGAAACATACATTGTTTATTGCTATATCATACTTTAATGATTACCAATTATGAAAAATTAAAATGTATGTCATTGCTCGAGTAAAAGAGCATATCTTATTGCTGGTTCACATATAATTGATATTAGTAGTAGTAGGTATTTATTTCCCTTGCGGGGTACATGCGGACCTCCGCTCCGCTTACAAAAAAAACTTCTTGTTTTACGCTCGCACGCGAGAGAGAGATACTCATCCACATTCATACCTCTGTCCATCCATCCATACCTCTGGACCTCCGCTTCCGTTGCATTCTCCATTCTCACCTTCTCCCACTCTCTTCCTCATCCACTCTCATCCCTTCCCCCCTCCATTCCTCTATTCTCTTTATCCATTCCCTCCCCCTCATTTTTTCTCTCATCAGTTCCTCCCTTACCATGTAGCCTGGTGTCCTCCTACCTACTCCTGTTATCCATCTCAGATATCTATCCTGCATTCTCTCCACCTCCTCTCTCTCCCTTCATCCCCATATCTCCACCCCATAACTCATTACCGTCCACACCAATCTATCAAACAACCATAACCTTCTCGACCAATCATCTCCAAACCTTCTTTTCCCTATCCCCCATATATAATTGATATTAGAAAACTTAGTTTTAAAATACATATATTTATCAAGTTTCTCTAGATATGTATAGCATTACTCGTAACATTATTAGTTCAGAGATGAATCAAACACACATTAATATAATTACTATTATTTATTACACAAATTAACAAAGAGAATATAGGTATATATGTTTTAATCAATTCTTGTGGAATTTTTTTTATATTTGTAATGATACAATATAATTATCGACTTATAACAATAATAATAATAGATTTATACAAAGTGATATCCTTGCGATTAATAAGCTATAGAAATGTAATTAATAAATTTACTTCTGTACAAGTACAATACCTGTGCTATACCTTCTGTTAAAGAAGTATTGTCTGAAGAAGCATTATTACTGTATCTTTTGTTTTAGTTTTTGTAACACGAAAAGATTCCTTAAATCTATATTCTACAAAGTTTTCTTTGAATATTTCTTCAAAGTTTTCTCTTTATTAAGATCGTTTCTAATTACATTTTTACGTAAATAAAATTTTCCTTTATTTAATGTATTTGCAAATTTCTATTTATCCTTCCAATTATTGTACATATCCGTAAAGATACAGACTATACTTTATAACAAAGTTTACTAACAATAAGTAGAACAGTTTATTAGATCATTATAAATGAGATATGTGTGTAAATATAAATACCATTGTTTTATCTTAGTTTTTGCAAATATTAATTGATAAATTGAAATATATTTTCAGTTATATTTTTGACATCAACAAATCAATCACTATATTGTAGACAATTTATTTAAACACTACATTGTTAGTAGATGTTTTAGTTATTGTCATAAAATAATTTTATTGCAGTAACTGCCACTATTTGGCGCTTATACATATTATTACATACCAGCTATTTAATAAAAGATAATTGACAAGATTGGAGATTGTATGTTAAATATAAGAATTGGATTTTTATACATATAAAAAGATATTCCTCTTTAACATATCGAAAATTAGTTTTATAAAATTGTAAAAAATATTCTACATTTATTCATGTTTTATTTCAAATTTTATCTTCTTAATTTAGCATTTCATAACTTGAACTTGTGTATTGTGTGTATTATCTCATTTTTTATATTTTACAATTGTTTTCATGGAAGTGCAGTTTCTTGAAATAAGTAAAATTATTGAATTAATTAATTTATTGAAAATGTTTTGTCCGACAATATTGACTTAATGGAAGGATATATTATTGTTATAATTTGAAATAAATTCTCTTAGCATTTTTCAGTAACAGAAACTCAATCAGTCGATTAATTATCCAATTATTTAGAACAGCATCTACGATCATGATGATCACTTCTTTTCACATGTTTTCACAAAGTGGGTGAATTTCAATCAAATTTCTTAAAATAATATTGTGTTTCTAATTTATATTGTTTTCTTTTTAAGTATAATTTACGTAATACGTAGAAACATTTTCATAATAATATACAGAGAGATTTTTAAGAGATTTTAAAATTAAAATTATTATTACAAGTTAATTATATTTGGTATGGAAATCACCATATAATCTTGCATTATTAAAAATTTTGCTTGAAACAAACCCCACTTTGTCAAATATGCTTCGGGGAGCTTTGAATGGCTATGTATCATAAGGGGGAGAATTATGGCAGGTCGGTAGCAAACGAGGTGAGGCGGGGTGGAGCTCAAAGGAGGGATGAATGGAACGGCAGCGGTACGACGCAGCGTCGGGGCTGGTGCAGGCGCCATCAGTGGTGGAGCCATCGAACCAGCGCCCATCGCCACTCTGGTCATATATAAGGACGACGCTGGATTTGGAATGAAAGTTTCTGGCGACAATCCAGTCTACGTTCAGTCCGTAAAGGAAGGTCCGCAAATTTTTTTGTATTAACATTTTGCACGATTAATTCTTATAGTTATGGGCTGCAGAATTGTTTCGGAATCACTAAAACTTCTTCCCCAGGTGAAAAAAATTTTTCATAAAAAATATTTATATAAGTATTATATATAATGTAATTATAATTGTATATCTCAAAAAGTATTAGGCAAATGAAAAAATGTTTCAGACAAAAATTGTTTACATTAATTAGCATTATAAGATAGTGTAATAAACAATAGGGATTTCCACTTAAGATTTTGAAGGTACCCCCCGCCCCAACTCCAGAGAGGGTGGTACGTGGCTAACTTTTGCGGGATGGAATTGCCTACTTGAAGATATTTAGGGTTTATTTGGAACATTTTTTTGTACAATGCTTATTTTTCCAGATAATTTGCAGTCTCAAGCTAAAAAACTCACCTTGTATATACAGGGTACAGACTAATTTACGCCCACTATTTATATAGTGATATTTCTCATGAAAAACTTAAGTCAAATAGTTTCAAATTATTTTTTTCGGATTATACTATATAAAGTAGTTATTATCAATAACAAATTAGCTAATTAGCATTACTTTTTAAACGGTCGCACGTTTGTGAGTCGTGCGCCTTAGCGGTGGTCTATCGTGCGGCCGTTTAAAAAGTGATGCTAATTGACCAATCTTTATTTAATAATAACTACTTTGTGCATGGTTTGAAAAAGTGGCTCGGGACTTTTCGACTCAGTTTTTCGTGAGAAATATCACTGTATAAATAGTGGGCGCAAATTAGGTTACATCTTGTATATTTTTTATAAAATATATAACATAATACAGTACATGATATATGTATCATGTATAATTATTATAGTAATTTTATCTATACACACACGCATACACACAAATGTGAAAATTATAAATTTATTATGAATATTTTTACAAAAAATGATGTATTTTAGGTGGTGCAGCAGCAAGAGCTGGTCTTCATGCGGGCGACAAAATAATCAAGGTGATTATATGATAATAAGATTTACTGGGTAAAAGCTGCAGGAAGTTTATTAGTCTAGATTGTTAATTACTTTTCCTGTCCTGTATGTATGATGTACTGTATGTCAGTTTTTGTTACATAACTTTCTATGCTTATTGAAAAAAAATTTATTTTATATGTCAGAGTAATTTAGTGTGCATATTTGCATGTGAGATGTTTCTATCTTGTGCTCATACTATTGCAAAGCATTATTGTACATTCAACTATTTGCACTTACCATATAGATGTATCCGATTTATTTAAATAGATTTGTACCTAGATTTTACATGATAAGACTTCGGTTGATGTCAACCTGATTTTTATTAAAAAAAATTATAGCATTGATAGATTGATTACAAATTAAACTTCTTTTATTCTACATTTCTGTACTTTTTCTTTCTTTGAACTGATTTTCTATTGCTTTGTCACATAACACTCTTAGTTAAATGCTAAATATGGATTAGCAAAAACACAAGAAAGAAGTGGCAAGGCTAGAGAAATAAAAAAAATTAAAAAGTTACAAAAGGAGTCAAATAGATTTGTAATTTAACCAAGAAATTAATGTCTACAAGGTATATTAACTCTTTGTATTATTACAAATAAAATATATAAAAGATATTTATAGTAGATTTTTTTTTATTGAAGGTGAACGGAGTCAATGTAATGCAATCTACACATACTGACGTGGTTCAACTTATAAAATGTAAGTATTTTTATTTTTTAATCTATATTTTATTTATTAAATTGAGGAAAGTTTTTGATATTGTGAAATATTTTATTACCTTTAAACATGAGTTATATTTTTTGAATAGTTTGAGCAATATAATATTGAAAGAAATAAAAAATGAGAAAGGTTACACTACAGAAATAGTTACTAGTAGGAAAGATAAAAGTTTACTATTTAAAAATACGACTTATCTCCAAGGAGAATAAAACTACTCTTGAAGGTCAAAGAAAATGTATTAATTATTTTATTTATTATTTATTTATTAATATAGTAATTATGACGTAATAAAGATCTTAAAGAGCTAGGATAAATTGTAGAAATCGAAACCTAAAATGATTCTATTTGCAATAAACTGCGATATTAATTTCGAAAACACTAATATACAGCTGTGTTATATTTTTTAAGATGGGAAATTATTTTGAAAAAAATAATTTTCAAAATTTTATAGTATACAAAAAATAATCTTACTGAATGAATTATATCAAAATGCTCAGATAAAAGTTCTATGTCAAAGGTTATGACTTTAGGTAGAAGTACAATAATTAGCGGTTTAAAATTGTATTTGTTTTAATAGTATAATATATCTTGGATTTTACTGCTACCTATTATATTACCAAAAAATTTTTAATGTTTTAGACCTGAGGTACAATATAACTAAATCTTATGATTTCTGAGATATACGATTTTTTGTAAAAATAGTATTTCACCATACTTATTAATGCAATGGTGAACAGAATCTGCAATTTAGCCTATTTTTATAGTAAAAGCTTACTATTTTCTTTCTGAAAAATGCAATGGTGTTATATTGTTTTTAAAAAAGTGATAAATGAAAACTTTCTGTTTTTAAATTGCATAAATATCAGGTTAAAAAATTAAATAAAGACAAGAAACACTTTCAAATAATTAAAAAGAATATAATTTGGTATATATTGTTTAACTTAAATGAGAAAGGAAGTTTTTCTGAAATTGTAAAAAGTTATTACTTTTGTTAATGTTTATAAAACAAATATTAATTTTCTTTAAACTTTATATAATAAGTATGATATAAAATTGTGTTCTAATAACTATTCTTTTATGCAATTTCACAAAGTTAGTTTGTTGCATAGTGTTACCTTTCAATTTAGTATTTTTATTTTGGTCCGACAGTATAGTCATCTCCGGTCTTTCAGCAAGTCTTTTTCATTTTTTTTTATCAGGGAACAAATAATTTATCAATTTTACCGTTCCTTGTATAAAAAATATTAATAGCAATTTGATTAGAAATGAATAAATATTCCTTTTTCATAATAAAAAAAAGGATTAGCATTTGTATCTGACTCACACATATGAAAACGCAGAAAACAGAAGTCTAATGATGTAAGCATGTGAGTTTATAGCGGTGACTACTTCAGTCAGTCAGTCAGTCAGGCTCTCGTGCTCATTGTACAGAGATATACCGCGTATGTATAATACATGTGTTTCCAATATTGCATATCTCGTCACATAGAGATATCACAGAATTCTGCAGTGTAGGGTGTGGCATGATTTGTGAACTAAATCTTGTATATATTAATTACTGATAGTTAACTTAAATATGGTTGTAATTGTTGTCAAGTTGTGATGAATGGTGACATTCATGGATAACTCAAGGTATAATAATGGGATTAAGAGAAATTGAATCACTTGGAATAGGTACAGATATGGTAAAAATTTTGAATTATTTTTAATAGTTTTAAAAATTAGTTGTTGAAAGTCTCAAATATCGTAAAATTTATAAAATTATTTTAGACCTCACATTAATATATTCCTTATATATTTTGAATAATATATGCAGTTATATGTATACAAATGTATAAATGTTATTTTCTGTCCTATACAATCCTTACACATACAATTATTAATTGTTAAAGCACATACATTTATTCTATCTTGTTTGCAAGAACGTTTTCTATAAGTATTATAAATTTTTTCTTATTCATAAAATATATACAAGTAATAATATAGTAACAATATTGAAATTTATATTACATGCGCTTATATAATCAGAAATAATAAATTATGATACATAACATATAATGTACGTCATATGAATTTTAAAGTTTTAAATCGAAAATATCATTCATAAAAAGATGGGTTGTATAAATAGCACAAGCTTAAATAAAATAGTAGTTTATAATAAAAAAATTTATTTTAAATTGAAATTTAAACGCCATTTAGGAAGGTGGTGGCCATTAAATTACTAAGTGAATCCATATACCGTCTTTTCCCACCCTGTACTGCGCGCGGTTACTATCGGATATATAACACAGATTTCCCCTAGATGGGATCATTCGTCAATCGTCAGTGAATTCACGTGTTCTAAAAATTGCTGAACGATTTTTGTACATTATTTTAATTTAATTTAAATGCTATACTTAGCATTATAAATTTATCCTTTTCCCTATTGAATTAAAATTCTTATTGCGAAAAATATTACCACAGCCAGGATTCGAACCTGGGACCTCCCTCAATCCGTGACGGGCGTCTTAGCCAGCTCAACGAAATATATTTTATTTCTTAATGTCTCGTTTTAATTAATTTTCATATGTAATGTAAACAATAATTTTAATCTCAAGAGTTTCAGACATTTTAGGTGTTATATTAAATAAACATGATTACCTTAAAGCAAATCTAATTTTGTATTATTGAATTGCTTGAAAACTTAACGGAGGGCTTTCTATATCCGTCACTGTACATACATACATATAACTGAATGTGTATGCCAAAGATGAGTCAAGTTTATTTCTTAACGCATATTTATCATCCATAAGATATTTCCTAGCATGTTACAAACCGTAAGCAACGATTCTATTTATTCAGTAAAAATTTGATTATTGCTCGATATATTCAATATATCCTGCACAAACTTAATGAATAGATGAATAAATAATATACTTTTGCAAAGATTACTACTATTTCTACAAAATATTATATATTTATATTTTAAAATTTTAGTCATTCTTTGTAGAAAATTATAAGAAAACATAAAAGAGAAAGTGACATAATTTCAAAATTAAAACTTTTATAGGTTTAACAAATATACTTATAATTTGTAATTAGGAATTATTTTACAAATTATTTTTAAAATTTATTTTTAAATGTAATTTGTATATATAAATAGTAGTAGTCTTTATTCCCCTTTTGGGCAATATACAGAGTGTATCAGACCACCCGTACACCTCGATTTTTCCGAAAACGCGAGGTGATAGGAAGTTGGTGAGAAATGTTAAGTCCCAAATCCTAGTGTCTGTGAAATTGGCACGACATTCTACGAATTAAAAAAAAAAACCTAGAGTTCCAATAGCACTTTTCATAGTTCTACAGTTCCTGATAAAAATTAGAAAGAGTTCCGCACTCCTTATATGAAAAACTCACATTTTAAAAAACGTCGTGCTAACTTCGCGAATCTAGCACGACACCCTCCCCTCTAAAGTACCAAAACGCATTCACTAATATCATTTTTGGCGAGAGTTCCCGATAGTTCTACTCAAGTTTCACATGTATATGCAATTTTGGATCGATATTACATCATTAACAATTTTTAAACAATTTTTCATATCGGCGACCAGCACGACACTAAGTAAAAT